AGGGAAATTGCCCCCGATGTGAAAGTGTGTGAGGGCCCTGTCGTTTGTCCGCTGCTTTCTGGGATAGGCTAGGGCTCCCCCACGACTCTGTACTGGATAAAGAGATTAGAAAATGATGGCTGGATGTTTTCATTTATAAGAATCTTCGGAGGTAATTTTGACACCTACCTTTTTGAGAATGGCATTTGTGTTAGAATAAAAGAATATAGTTTTTCCATATTTTTGAGCACTACCTGTGTTGTTACCTCATTGTTTTTTTTGCTCATCTTTATCAAGGGTGCCAATAATTTTGGAGTTGACTGTAAAGGGAAATAAAATTCTAGGAAATGGTCAATGGATTTAGAAAAGGCTGAGTGTGCCTAACCAACGTGTTAGAACTATAAATAAGCAAAAATGGTAGTGGATATGCAAAGAGCATATATGATATAGTGTATTTACTGCAGATTTACAGAAGGCTTCTGATAATGTTCCTTGCACAAGATGGATTTTCAAATTGCAGGCAGTAGGTATTCAAGGAAATACCTGTATTTGGATAAACTGGTTATTGGATAGAAGTATTGGTGAATCCTCAAATTTGGATGATATAAACAGAAGTGTACTTCAGGGCTCTTTTTTCCAATAACTTCTCTTCCTAATTTCTATCAATGATTTAGATTCTGCTATGATGTAACCTAGTCAGATTTTCAGATTGTACTAAAATAGGATTATAGGAAACACCATAGAAGCTGCATAGAAAATTCAAAAAGACCTAGACAAAATTCAAGACTGGACAAACACTTGGTAGATTGTATTTAAAGCAAAGTATCATGAACAATTATTGGCACATGTAAACTTTACATATAAAATGGGGAATACAGATCTTGAAGAAACTATGAAAAATACTAGGTGTTTATTTTGACATTTACATTTTTTCATCCTAAGTCTAGACAATGTGGGAAAATGATAAAAAAGGGACTTATCAATTACCTACCAAGTTACTAAGCCAAAAGAGCTACAGTAGGAAACGTACCTTTTTATCTGCAAAATTGTGTAAATTCTTCTAATTAAGTCACACAGAAAGGCATGCAAAGGGCCTTCATATGAAATTGATTGGTGACTCCAAGTTAGGATTCTCAACAGCACTATTAAAACAAATGTTGAAAGCTGTTGTGAAAAACAGCCAATTGTTATTAAATAAAAGTTTGTTTTATTTTCTGTTTTATCTGATAT